CATACAATTGTACAGAAAACTCTGGAGAAAGCAGAAGAAAACTGTGGACTTAAACCAGAAGTCCTCACAGAATTAATAAGTACTAATTATTTCACATAAAAAAACAATGTGAATTGTAAATGGATATCTACTGCTCTTGCTGCTAATGGCCTTGCAGATTTAGGCCTAATCCAATGATTCGTTCTTCCTTAAAGGGAGAGTTCACCCTTAAAGAAACTCACACGGGTTTGGAACTATTGGAGAGAGGGTAAATGATAACAGAATTTTCATTTCTGGATTAACTATCACTTTAAATGAACTAGCTGACCAATACCTTGTAAACCCCACTTTTTTCATGCTGTGCACCCTGATTTCTGGTATTTCTGGTCTAGCAGTCAGCCAGTCAGATTTGGAATTGGATATTTCAGTCAGTGCTTGCCATTTTTGCGTGTAGCATGATAAAGACGGCTTGTGAATGGACTGTGGGTGGTCTGTAGTCTGAATGGGATTTGAAATGACAAACTAGCCCAGATACTGATTTTCACAATGCTGAGAAAGTGTTATTTCTATATTGGTTTTGAGTATGATGGGGTGCTATAGCAAATAGTTGTACCTTAAGCAATATCTAGGCATAAATGTTTTCTGTAAACAAGTACAGGCTCATGTTATTTGTCTTTATATATCAGGCCTCTGAAGTGCTCAAAATCAGGTAATTGGATAGTTGTTGGTTTTCTTTAAGTATTCAATTACATTAAGAATGTTTTCTTAAAGGGATAGTTTACCAAAAATGACAATTTACTGTTAAAGGGTTACTCCACCCCAAAATGAAAATGTTGTCATTAATCACTCACCCCTATGTCATTCCAAACCCCTAAAAGCTTCATTCGTCTTCGGAAAACAATTTAAGATATTTTGGATGAAAACCAAGGAGGACAATTTGTCTCCTCCGCGTTACCGTAGCACCATTTTGGAGAATATCCACTGAACGCAAACCGCGTATGCTGTTCTGTGTCAGCCGCACCACATGGATACGCTGTTTTCATTCAAATCAAAGCGTAAATAAACTTAGAAAACGTATCTGTGTGGTGTGGCTGACACAGACAAGTAGAACAGCATACACAGTTTACGTCCAGCTGATATTCTCCAAAATGGCGCTACGGTGAAGCGGAGGAGACAAATTGTTGAATAAAGTCGTCATTTTTGTTTTCTTTGCGTACAAAAAGTATTATCGTCGCTTTATAACATTCAGATTGAACGACTGATGGCAGATGGACTATTTTGATGATGTCTTTCATACTTTTCTGGACCTTGACAGTGTTATTTACTTGGCAGTCACTGGGACAGTCACAAGCCTCCCGGTTTTCATCCAAGATATCTTAAATTGTGTTCCGAAGATGAATTAAGCTTTTACGGGTTTGGAACTAGGGCTCTGCGATATGGACAAAAAAAACCTATCGCGATTTCTTTGATAAATTTTGCGATTTCGATTTTAATTACGATGTTGACACACACAGACATGCTTTACAGTCATTAATGCATTCAG